ACCTTAGGATATTTTTCTTCTTGCTAGGAGAGTTGCTGAAAAAAAAAGCCCTCCTGTCACCCAGCAAGAATGTATGGCCTGAGCAGCATGGTACAATGTATCCCTGGCATTACTAAAGGCTGCTTCACACCAGAATTGCACAGGAATGCGGTCCCATTCCTGTGTGTGTTCTCTGTGTTCACCTGCAGTGCGATTTGGCAGCCCATTCACCTGAATTGTCTTACAATCTCACCAGAATGGACAAAAAGTAGTGCATGCACTACTTTTGAAAAAAATGTGTCACACCAAATCGCATGGTACCATGCAATAGTAACATGACAAAATATAAAAAAAAATATTTAAAAAAATGTGGAAAATTTCAAGGGGTATGAAGACTTTTTCAAGGCACTGTAAGTTGTATAAAGATAATCAATTTCAGCTACAAATGTAAGTCCTCATGCACACTTGACGTTTGTACAGCGGCTGTTTTTGGCTTTTGACGTTTTTTTCTACAGCCAGTAAACCCCCCAGCATGTTATCCTATGTGTCCATGCACACAGACTGGAATCAATGTTTTTTGTCTTGACTCCAGGACTCGTGGTTTTCTAGAGGAGTTTTTTAGCTGTAAAAATGCTCTAATGCTGAAAAATGTGGCAAACGTGGTAAACCGCCACAAACTGTCATTTTTGGACTTATTCTGACTGAAAAAAAAATAAAAAAACGCAAATGTAGAAAAACAAAAGGTAAAGGCACAAAACAGTAATGCAAAAATGCTAAAAAAAAAAGCTCAAAAACTCACATTTTTAATGTGACTTTACACAGCTAACATTACCAGCGTTATCAAAATGTCCAGTGTGCATGAGGACTAATGGTGCGTATGCGTTCTGCGCTTGGGGTCCAGTTAAAAATGTATTGACACCCACAGCAGATTGCAAAGGCAGTGCATTTTGAATGTGGTGCTAGAAACACGCACAGAACGCACCTTTCCCGCATCGTGTTCTGGTGTGAAAGGGCCCTAACACAATGTGCATCCTGTGAACATGAACACAGGCCTCATGCACACAGTATTATATACAGTATATATATATATATATATATATATATATATATATATATACACACACACACACACACACACACACACACACACATTGCATGTTGAAATGCATTTTTTATATATTACAAAATATATAAAAAATGTATACATATATACACACACAGTATATATATATATATATATATATATATATATATATATATATATATATATATATATATTTATTTGAAATATATTTTAAAAATTGACATATATTTGAAATGCCACAATTTCGGCCATATTCAACATATCAAAATATATTTCAATATACATACACACACACACTGCATGTTGAAATGCATATTTTATATATTACAAAATATATAAAAAACGCATGTGTTAAATAAAAAAACTCTTAGAAGCTGCCCACCTGGCAGCAGTGTTTTTTGCATAAAAAAAACGCTTTACATTTGTAAAAGTAATGCTTTTACAAGGATTTAGGCACGTTTACAAGCGTCAAGCACTTGGGCGTTAATTAATTTCATTGGCCAGAATGATAATTTGTTCTGGCCATTGAAATGAATTAACGCTCATGTGCTAAACGCGCCTAGCGTTTATATGTGTTTAGGCGTGTTTAGATGCGTCTAGACACGTTTAGGCACGTTTAGCCGCATTAAGCGTTATTTCTGCCAAAATGCTGCTGCTCCTGGACGCACTGGCCTTGGGGTTTTTTCCTGCTAGTAATATAATGTTTTGGGGGTTTGTGCGATTTTTCAAGCCTAACATTTTTATAAAACTTGTGTGCAAAAAACGCAAAGATGGCTCTGGCAGCAACATGGTTAAAGAGGAACTTCACTCCCCCTCTTTTTTTTTTAACTCTAAGCCCCTCCCCTTCCTTTTGCCTGTCATGCTGGGTTGCTTTTGAATCACATACTCACCTGCCCAGTGAATCAGCATTGTCCTGCTGTGATCCACTACTTAGGTACCACAGGCTAGGTCCCATGTTGCCATCTTATTCTTCTGCCTCCTTTGGGCCGGTTGATAGCCTAGGGTTGCCACCTCATCCCTTTACAACCGAACACATATTAATTACACAGGTTCTGTGGCTGATTAAGGTGGCAATTAAACTCATCTAGTGACTTATCTGCATAAAATTTGCTTCAGAACCTGTGTAATTAATATGTGTTCATTTTTAAAAAGGGATGAGGTGGCAACCCTAAGATGGCCCCAATGACAAGCTCTGCCTTCTGGCCACAGTGTCACTGCTCCTACAGGTCTTCTGGAAACATGACATGGTATCCCAAGAGGCTGAAGGAGTAGGGGCATGTCTTTCTCGTCTATGGGAGACTTGAGGTGGGGTGGAAGGCCAGGTAAAAAAAAAAATGTTTTTAATTACCCAACCAAAAAAAATCATATTGCAGGGAGGAGAGGGAGTGCATATAGTTCAAATGCATCTAGACAGTGAAGGTCTAATTCTTAGTTATACATTGCAATTGAAGTAAAAAAATTGTTTTCCAGTGCCTGTTATTGCCCTGGCTAACCAAAGTCAACATTCTCCAATAAAATGACAAAGCCATAAAATAATGCATACACTGCACTGAACACACCTACGATGACTTTTGGTGTTAAGTTGGTCACAGACCATACTGTCCGGTATATACACAAGTGAAAATGAATCACCTGTTTGTTTTTTTTTCATATACCGAAGCAAGAAGTAATCTGATTAGTGGATAACTAGACTATCACTTTTTGGAGGACCTGACCCTTTTCCCCAAAATGTCTTACTGGGCTGCAAGAAACCCTCTAATCCAGCCTTTCTAAACCGTATTGCCTCAAAGGGTCCCTTGTAATAGTCTTCAGTTCTCAGGGAACCCTTAGTCTATTAGTGGCCATTGTGAAAATTCCCATTGCATTGGTGAGGTCAGTTGGGAAAAATGCTCCCCTTACAGTTGTGGTAAGAATTCCACCCTTAGAGTCATGCTTCTGGCTCTCCCAAGTGGCGTTTAACCTGGAACTATGCAGGCACCATCACATGGGATTTCAGTTAGTCACAGCTCAAGGAACCCGTTGCCACCTCTGGAGGAACCCCAGGATTCCAAGGAACCCTGGTTGAGAATGGCTGGTCTAAGCAGTGCCTGCTTCAGAGAAACAAGTAGTGTGGACAAAGGCCTTCCCAATGTCCCATCAGGACCTTAAAAGAGCAAGAAAGGAATATTCTGACCAGTTTATATGAGCAATACAAGCAGTTCTTCCTTTAGACACTTTAATAAATTAAGTGGGTTATTTCTGGCTGCATTGTAAGCTGATGGTGCAGTTTACACATGAAATCTTCATGATGTGTTCTAATCTTATACCTGCCCGGAGCAAGGTGTCTGCAGAGGTCACTTGGACATAGTTTAGTCCCAGCTGTTATAAAACTATTTTCTTGCAACTTTACATTTTGCTTTCCAAGCTTAGAGAGCATCATGAGTTATTTTATGGAGGAGGACAATGAAAGTCACAGGGCTGTCAAAGTGCTTCTTTCGCCTATATACTGTAAAAGGAATACGATAACATTTTAAAATGAATACAGACTCTTGGTTCTCACTACAAGTTTGTTAAGTATTAATGCCTACTCAAGATTCTGAGCAATCTGTTTACGCCAAGTTTATGTGGGTGGCTAAGGAAAAGTAAAAACAGTTGGCTGAGCAGCATTTCTACTGCCCCCTTGCCTGCTGAGCCACAAGTTGACTTGGCCACTGACCATGGTAGTGCACATTGCCATGGCTATTGCATGGTGTGGTGAAAATTATACCACCTGTCGAAACTGCCACCAAATGTGACTGTTTCAGGTGCATGGGAGCATGCCACAACCACTCTGCAACACCTTACAACTCACTGCTTTCAATGATTAACACGGGTGATGAGTTGGCGACATATCACCTCTGAGCCACTTCTCAAATGAGGTATGGTGGTCTGGTGGGGCTGTAAACACGGGGATAACTGTTCTGGCTTGCATATGACAGATATATGTATATTAGTCTTCTTTAGCTTTACTTCAGGGTGAGGGTCTATGCGTTTTCAGTTGCTGTGTGTTAACGCGTGTTATGGCGTGAAATGCAATATGGCAGTCCATTTAGTATGAGTGGGATGCCAGTGCATCACAACAGATGAAAAAATGTATATGACCCTTGTTTGAAAATCCAGCACACAATGCATGGTTCAATGTTCAATGTGTTGGGTGCCATTTGCAATGAATGGCACCACAACACATCCCATGTAGAGCAGGTTCATTGCCATGCTTTATGAAAATGTGCTTGTGTTAGCATGCATTGCTACAATGCAGAAGTGTAAATTGGCACAGACAGTCAGGAGACAAAGGTCACCTGAAGTCTGCGCTTGCATGCTACTTCCCAGCTCTTTATTTTAAAGTGTCAAAAAACAGTGGCCTTTTCTCAAAGTATATCACCAGACAACACCATTTTTTTTTAGTTAGTGTCAGATAGAATGGGAAAAGTTTAGTCCTTCTATCAAGCTATTGTTTTCTTTGCCCCTATTCACCCCTGGCAACATTGAAAAAAGTGAGGGAAACTCCAAAATATTCACGTTGTCCCCAGAACAATGGGAAATCTAATGGAGACACTTGTTCCAGGAATAACTGTCTAAGAGGAGAAAATCCCTCACTTTGGGAGACTTCCTCTAACTTTCTGTTACATCACTAGAACAGGAAGTGAAGGGAATTCTCCCCAATGGTACACAAACATTAACAGCAGGGGTGCTCTATCCAAAACAAAAAAAATCTTTTGGAAAACTAGCACTGTCCCAAGAAACTGGAGATGTCTGGTCACCCTAGGCTATACAGAACTTTAAGCAAAGCCACTCAATAAGGAATATTGAGAGGTTCTGCATTAGAAAAATGTCACAGGCGTCTCACCACTCAATCTGAGTGATGACTTAGTAAGCCAATCATGTTTGGATGTGGTAAACACAGGGGCAAGGCTTAGGCTCATCCTGGGCTGGTCTGCAGTTCCCAGTCAGCCATGTGCACCACCTGCTGAGGAAGGGCAACTATGTGGAGCAGGTTGGGGCCAGGGCTCCTGTTTATCTGGCTGCCATTCTGGAGTATCTTACAGCGCTGAGATGCTTGAGCTGGCCGGTAACGCCGCCAACAGAAAAAAGAAGACTGCATTATCCCCAGACACCACCAAGCTGGCAACAACGAGGAGCTAAGCAAGTTACTGGCCAGCATCATCTTCGCACAGGGAGGAGTCCTGCCCAACATCCAGACCATGCTGCTGCCCAAGAAGACCAAAAGCCACAGCTAGGGCAAGTAAACTGGATCAGTTCTTTCTATTAGAAAACCCTAATCTATAACATGGCAAATCCTGTCAGGTCCATAAATATTGGACATTCGACACAATTGTAGACACCACCACAATGGATTTGAAATGAAACGAACAAGATGCGAACTGCAGACTGTCAGCTTCAATTTGAGGGTATTTACATCCAGGTGATCTGGTGTAGGAATTAACAACAGTTTGCAGTGCCTTAGGGACCAAAAGTAATGGGACAGAATAATAATCATCCTTTCACTGGTTGCAAATCCTTTGCAGTCAATTACAGCAAGTTTGGAACGCATAGTACATCACCAGTGCACATCCCTAGTGATGCAGGCCTGTACTGCATGTCTTTCAGTTCCTGCTTGTTTGGGGCCTAGGGGCATTTTCCCTTCAGTTTTTGTCTTCCAGCAAGTGAAATGCATGCTCAGGAGGTTCAGGTCAGGTGATTGACTTGGCCATTGCATAACATTCCACTTCTTTCCCTTAAAAAACTCTTTGGTTGCTTTTGCAGTATGCTTTGGGTTCATTGCCACAGGCTTTGGCTGAATATGAGCAGATAATATTCCCTAACACTGGCCTTCCGGCTGACTTTTGTCAGGTAACATCAATACAAGCGCCAATTGGCAGAAACATGCCCACGCCATGAAGACCACCATGCTTCACTGGATGATGACCCCTGGTATGCTTAGACATTGAGCAGTTTTTTTTCCTTCTCCATGGTACAAGTTGATAAGGGCCATAGGATGTTTGTTCCAGAACTGGATGGCTTTTTAGATGTCGTTTTTGGCAAACTATAATCTGGCCTTCCTGTTTTTGAGGCTCACCAATGGTTCCATCTCGTGGTGAACCCTCTGTATTCACTCTGGTGAAATCTTCTCTTGATTGTTGACTTTGACACACATACACCTACCTCCTGGAGAGTGTTCTGATCTGGCCAACTGTTGCAAATCACCAGGGAAAGAATGCTTCGCCACCACAGTTGTTTTCCGTGGTCTTCCAGGTCTTTTGGTGTTGCTGACTCATGCCTCCTACCATGTTCTGCTTTTGGCCAATAGAATCTCTCTGATGGGTTTGTTTTGTTTTTTCAGCCTAATGATGGCCACTGAGCTCTTTGGCCTTGAAGTAACAGGATCAGATTCCAAATGCAAATAGCACACTTGAAAGAACTCTGGACCTATCTGCTCATTGTAATTGGGATAATGATGGGAATAACACACACCTGGCCATGGAACAGCTGAGAAGTAAATTGTCCCATTACTTTTTGTCCCTTAACAAGTGGGAGGCACATATGCAAACTGTTTGTAATTCCTACACCGTAGTTCACCTGATTTGGATGTAAAGACCCTCAAATTAAAGCTGGATCTGCAGTTAAAGCACATCTTTGTTCGTTTCATTTAAAATCCATTGTGGTGGTGTATAGAGCCAAAAATGTTAGAATTGTGTCGATGTCCCAATCCTAGTAACTTTTATTGTTTCTTTAAAGATTTATCCCTATCAATGTTCTCATTGATTTACCAATGCTACCCAAAGAGAACCCCCTCCCTAGCTTCTGCTCTCTTGTCTCTGGATCATGGCTGTATCTAGGGAGGTACCTGGGTGGGCTATGCCACCCAAGATTTTAGTTTTTCCCCCCAAAGCCAGAGCTACCTGTGTAGGGAGCTCTGCTGTCTGTGTCCAGGGTGTGTGCAGTGCAGGGATGGGAGGAGGAGCTCTGCTGAATGCTCTTCCAGCAGTGACTTCTGTCATCTGCCTTGCCAGTTGTGACCCCTGCGCTCTGCCCTGCTGCTGACCCCTGTGCTCTGCCCTGCTGACCCCTGTGCTCTGCCCTGCTGACCCTGCTGACCCCTGTGCTCTGCCCTGCTGACCCCTGTGCTCTGCCCTGCTGACCCCTGTGCTCTGCCCTGCTGACCCCTGTGCTCTGCCCTGCTGACCCCTGTACACTGCCCCATGACATTTTTTATTACACCCTCACATCAGACAGGCTATATCCAGGCCTCCTCTGGATTGGCTATACATTAACTGCCATACAAATATAGATTTTAGCATATATATCTCATTTGCCTACAAATGCATCCTCCTCCAGGAAATTTTACAATTACTTAAAAAATATAAGGCGAATGTGTCTGGACTTGACCTTACTTGTATCACTATGCCTCAAATTTGTTATGCAAAGAACTAAATGCAGTGATACCACCTGTCACCACTAGAGGGCACGTCTGATAATCTATAGATGAAATAGTAAAATGAAAAATATAGCCCTGAAATCTTGTAAGATCGTAAATAAATAAAATTATATCTCCAGGTAATTTGTTAACAGAACACAATGAATACTTACTGAAAATACATAATAGACTCCTGTTAAAGAACAGCCATTTCCTTAGTACAGTGTATTATGAAAATATCAGACTGTTTATTATAATTTATAAATGGAGTATTTCCCACCAAGGGTCCAATTTAACTAGGAAAAAAATGACTTATTTTGATAAACTGTTGGAATGATAAAATATTCTGCTGCTTTGGTGAACTCTATTCTCCATGGAGGTCTTTTATGTAATAGAAATACGTTACACTTAATTATCATGCTTCGGTCTAGCTTTGCTATAATAAAAACTTTATGTCAGCAGCTTTTCACAGTTCTGTGCTAGTATAGTAGAGGGGCTTTCATGTTTCTCTTCTCTAATGAAAGCTTCCTGGACCCATAAGTTGAGCGGTATCAAAGGGGACACCGCCAGCAGGGGTAAAGATCCATGTCTACCAGGAGTCAACCTAGATGGCGTAGCCTGCAGATAGAGAATATTCCGGGATGTTGGCCTTCCCTTGGGATCTGATGTGTGGTGCTTATATTCTTCTCTTTCTTTTTGCAGTTTTTTTTTGTTTAAAGCCCAAGTTTCATTTTTTAATAAATTGCCCAGCAATTCTAAAACAAGAAGAAGCTCCAGCTGTAATATTCTCTTTCCCTTTTGGCACACAGACTTTCCCACTTGTAAGAAGGGTCAGATGGTTGGTACCTAAAATGGAATAAATGCGCATGGAGGCTGAGGTATGCAGCACAATGTTTTAACAAAAAGCTCCAACCAGGTTGCAACAGGACCTGCATATTACGGCTGGATCCCATCAGGGTTGCTGTTAGAACCATGAGGCCCTATACGGCCAACCTGACAAGGTGCCCCCCCCCCAAAAAAAAAAAAAAAAAAAAAAAAAAAAACATAGTTTACTATGCTTCAGTTATGTATTAACACAGTGTGTGATTGGTATCGGTCACTCATTGTGTTCATTCAAAAAGAAAGGGGCTGGTAAATGCAAAATATTTACTGGACTCTTTCCCCACTCTCTATCATGAAAGATCCTATTGTGTGCTTGCAGCTCCTGGTGGGAAGGAGAGGAGGGAAACCTAGCACTGCAGGGGTGAAGGCAAACAGGGGGCCTGGGCAGCAGGGGGAATCATATGGTACACAGGAAGGGTGATGGGTGCGCTGGGGGGCGTTGGCAATTACTGGAACCGATCCCCTGTATGGTTCTCTCTACAGCAGCTGAAAGTCAACGGGAGGGAGAGGAGAAGAAACCAGCTTTCAGCTGCTGCAGAGAGCCAAACAGGGGATCAGTTCCAGTAATTGCCACCCGCCATGCTGATCATCCTCTCTGCCCACATTCGATTCACCCAGCTGTCTGGGCCCCCTTGCTGGCCTGGGCCCCATACACGAGGACTGGTGGTACCCCCTAATCCACAGCCCTGGATCCCATACAGCGGTACCTCAAAGTAGGATTTGTATAACATAGTCATAGTACTAGGACTGAGAAATTATAAAATTCCCTTGTGAATCTAAGTGCTGGAAAAGTTTAAAAAAATATACAAAAACATTACCAGAATATATTTTGTTTCGGATATGTTTGGTGTTGACCAGTCAGTCATTAGATTGAAAGCCCGATAGTTCCGGTAAGGGCTCTTACTCACTTGTAGTTGCCACTAGAATCGTGAAGTGTCACTGTCTCTCTTTGGTCTTATTGGATAAGTGAGTCCTTTCTTCTTCCTTCATTGGTTGTATACAGATTTATTACATTGGGCAACCACTTGCCCTTCAGATGATTTACCCCCCTTCCTGACCAGGTCATTTTTTGCGATACGGCACTGCATTACTTTAACTGGCAATTGCGCGGTTATGCAACACTGCACCCAAATAAAATGTATGTCCTTTTTCCCACAAATAGAGCTTTCTTTCTGTGGTATTTGATCACCTCTGCATTTTTTATTTGTTGCGCTATAAACAAAAAAAGACCTACAATTTTGAAAAAAAAAAAACAATATTTTTGACTTTCTGCTATAAAACATATCCAGTAAAAAAACATTTAAAAATCAAATTTCGGCATAAATTTAGGCCAAAATGTATTCTTCTGCATGAATTTGCTAAAAAAAAAATCCCAATATGTGTAAATTAATTGGCTTCTGTGAAAGTTATAGCATCTACAAATGGTGGTATATATACTGGATTTTTTTTTTTAATGCTAGTAATGGTGGCAGTCAGCGACTTATAGCAGGACTGCTGAACTACGGCGGGCATTCTGACACTGGGGGGGAACTGACTATCTGCCACTGACATCCCGATGACACTAATACAGTGATCAGTGCTAATACAAAGCACTGACACTGTACTAATGGCACTGGTCAGGAAGGGGTTAACATCTGGGGCGATCAAAGGGTTAACTGTGTGCTGTGTGTTTTATTGTGTGCAGTGTTTTACTACTGTATGTAAACATGCTACTGTGTATTTCTCTGCTGAGAAATACACAGCAGCATGTTACTGCTGGCAGAAGAGAGACCTGTGTTGTTTACACACCTTTTCCTTTTTTTTACCATACCTTTTCACTGTTCCTCAGCAATTGCGGGGTGCCAGT